AAACCATGTGAAAAAACTACGAGATTTTGATTTTTCACATGCTTAAATGTTTTTAAAAAATCAGATTTTGATGCCATTTTAAATTATAGCATGCTATGGTCCATATAGACATATTATAAAAAAATCTGTATTTACACCAAAATTGTGATTTTTTCTAAGAATTCCATTCGATTACCTATAACTTGAAACGGATAATGTGATTGGAATCAAGTCGATATGTTGTATCGTTGTCGAGAAATCGTTAAAAACGTACCGTGTAAATCACGAAAAACCATGTAAAAATAACCGTGTAAAAAATACCGCAAAAAAAAAACCGTGTAAAAAAAGACTTCAGTGTATATATTTATATATATCAAATTCAATATATATAAACCCAAATTCATTATACAGCTTAAATAATCGAAATAATAAATCTAGTTTAGTTTGACAGAATTAACCCTTTGTCTGTACATTGGGGTCAATTTGACTCCAGGCCACTTTGAAAAGCTGTAACTTTTTTATTTATCAATGGATTTTACTAACTATTTCGTTCAACGGTGCGTCCACCGGAGCTCTATAACAGAAAATGAAATCTGCTCCAAAAACCTTGAAAACATAATTATTAGAATTTGTTTATTGAAATACCCCAAATGCGACCCCAAATTCAAATTGCCGCATCTTAACGAAATTACAGAGGAATTCTGAAATTTCAAATGATTTGAAAAGTAAATTTAGTTGAACTTCTGTTTTAACTATCATATTTTTTTTGAAAGGGCGGATCTTGAGGGGTCATTGTAAAACTATACCCTTGAAATAAGAGTGATGTTAGAGATCTTTATGTCACAAGATCCCAACCCTGTAGAAAGTTGCTTCCTTGTGCAAAGATATTCAAGAATACCCTTTTATTTGAGTAATTTGTGTTGAACTTGCAAAAATTTAACATCATGCAATGAGCAACCACAAGTTCGCAAATTCTGTAAATTTGAAATTAACAACCATCTTCAAGCTACACCGAGTAACTAAGATGTCTGAATTAAGTTGTGATTAAGAAATATTTCACTGAATTTGAATAAATTTCCCTGAGATTCCATGAATTTTCAGGTTCAAATTGAATCCCCTGATATTTCTTGATTGTCTAGGTTTTCCAGGTAGTCGACACCCTGTGGTAAAATATGACAATATGTGAGCATCGAGATTTCAATTGTTGAATTGGTGGAGATCTTCAGAATACCTGAAGCTTTAAAAACAGCAATATCAAGAGGATTTTATGGAAAACGTTGATCGTCCAACGTGGCATTATGAGAGAATATCTGAGAGAAGTGATTTGAATTGATGAACAGTTAAAAATCTTCAGAAAAAATCCTAACCAACTTGAAGCCTTGAACAGAAGTCATCAGGTTATGGGTTCAAGAATTCAGCTTGATCAGGTTTTTATCTGAAGATCTTCATCTGCACAACAATTCAAATCACATTTCCCAGTTTTTCTTTCTAAGACCAGGTTGCTCTGAATTTATTTCAAACCCAGGTGATCGTAAAACTCCTCAGGATATTTGTTCAAGACTTCAGTTGGATCAAGTATCATTCTGAAGACTTTAACAGCACAAAAATTCAAATCAAAACTCTCAGATGTTCTCTTAATATATCATATTGCTCAGAAATTGTTCAAAAGACTTTCAGGTGATCAGAGATCTCCAAAAAGTTCTCAGGATATTTGTTCAAGACTTCAGCTGGATCAGCTATCATTCTGAAGATCTTTAACGGCAAAACAGCTCAAATCACATCACCCAGGTATTTTTCAAGATACCAATTTGCTCAGAAATTATTCACAAGACCTCCAGGTGATTATAGATCTCCGAAAAATCCTCAAGATATTTGTTTCAGACTTCAGCTTGATCAGGCACCATTTTGAAGATCTTAAACTGCACAACAATTCAAATCACATACCAGATTCCTCAGAAATTATTCCAAAGACTTCATAAGAGTGGCTTCGGCTGCCCCAGTAGGGTCCCACCTTCGGGCCCGTACGGTACACACGGCCACAGTTTGCTCAACGTTCACACAGTACGCCAATGACAGTAAGACATCTGGATACTCCAAGTCATGGACAGTGCCAGGTGCGGAGTTTGACTGGGGCGGTACATCTCCAAAACAATAACGGAGGTGTCCAAAGGTCAGCTCAGTGTGGACAGAAACCACACGCTGAGCATAAGGACAAAAGCTGGCTTGATCTCGATGTTCAGTACATATTGAGACAGCGAGAGCTAGGCCTCACGATCCTTTTGATTTTAAAGAGTTTTTAGCAGGAGGTGTCAGAAAAGCTACCAATAACTGGCTTGTGGCCGCCAAGCATTCATAGTGACGTGGCTTTTTGATCCTTCGATGTCGGCTCTTCCTATCATTGTGAAGCAAAATTCACAAAGCGTAGGATTGTTCACCCTTTCAAGGGAACGTGAGCTGGGCCTAGACCGTCGTTAGACAGGTTTTTTTTTACCCTCCTGGTGTGCGATATTGTTGCGCTATCTTAACGGAATTACTGTGCAGTACGAGAGGAACCAGAGCTACGATGGCCGTCCTGAATGAACTATATCCACCTTTTCAAGGTGGTTTGTTTAAAAGGACGTTAATAGATGGAAGCACAGCTACGATGCCGGGTAAAGCAGTGCTTAAGAACGCCTATCAATGGTTGTTGGGTTCTGCCCTGACCGGCGATTTGCGACCTCTGTGTACCTGAACTCCGATTCTTACCTCCACGCGGTGCCCGGTGGGATTGCTGGCGGTGATATTTGCCGTCAGTAATGCGAACAAGAACGGGGGATCATCGTTGTCACCAAAGCACTTCTGTCAATTATCGGTCGTGCCCGTGATGACGATGACAGAGCAATAAGGTTATAGCCAACTCTCTAAGTAGCCTGTGATTATCGCTACCTGGGGATGCTAACCGGCTGGGTGCTGGTTGCGGCTTGGCCATCCTGAATGAACTTTTTCCACCTCTTCAAGGTGGTTCGTTTAAAAGGACGTTAATAAATGGAAGCACAGCTACGAATTTGCCGTCCTGAATGAACTATTTTCACCTCTTCAAAATGGTTTGTTTAAAAGGACGTTAGTAAATGGAAGCACAGCTACGAACCAATGGCTCAATACTAGTTCGACCGGACTCATATATATCATTTTAAAGATCTTCATCTGCCCAACAATTCAAATCACATCTCTCAGCTATTCTCTCAAATTTGCAGGTTGCTTAGGAATTATTCAAAAACCTCCAGGTGATCATAGATCTCCAACAAATCCTCACGATATTTGTTCAAAACTTCAGTTTGAAGATCTTCAACTGTACTACAATTCAAATCATATTACCCAGATATCCTCTCAAGATACTAGGTTAATCAGAAATAATTCAGAAGGCCAGGTAATAATAGACCTACAAAAAATCCTCAAGATATTTGTTTTAGACTATTGCTTGATCAGATATTCATTTTCCAACTGCCCAGAAAATCAAATCACATCTCCCAGTTATTCTCCAAAGATCTCCAAAATTCCACTGCCCAACAATTCATATCATATATCCCATGCAATTTTCAAGATACCATGTTGCTCAGAAAATATTTAGAGACCTCCAACTAATATTATAAATTAACAATATGGTCCACTCTTCTATTATCCCCAAGATACAATTTTCCCCGACACTAGTGCCTTAAAGGCTAGTATACTGTAATTTGAGCGCTTCCCAACAAACAATTTTAGCTGCAGCTTAGCTTATACAGGCAAAAGTTAGCTGCATAAGGCAAATTTTGGCTGTATAAGCTAATCTGCAACTAAAATTGTTTTTTTTTTTTTTTTTTTTTTTTTTTTTTTTTTCAGTGTTCACTCGGCTGTCGACAAAAGCAGGCCACTCTCGATGTGTGCTACGCGATCGTCTGTTTACTCGGCAGCAACCATTGTGTGGTCCTCCTCATTGTTCTTCATCAGCAGTTCTTTCGGTCGATGCGTCGTCGACTTTGGAAAGCAACCGTTTCGTGATGAGTGTGTGAGTGCTGACCACATTTTGCGTCCATTGCTGCAATGGACGCGCTCTGACCCTCGTTGGCGTACAACAATTTGCCATACAATGAAACTACTGGAAGCGGCTCCAGTTCTGATGGAGGAGGCTTTTTGGATAGCGGAAGATAAAGTGTTTATTGTGTTGTATCTTTTGACTATAGCTTTAAGATGTATTGTATAGTGACCAAGAATCCTCGGCTCTGTTAAGTTAATTCGGTTGAGCCTTATCAAATAAATTAATAAAAAAAAAAAAAAAAAAAAAAAAAAAAAAAATTGTTTGTTGGGTTAGCAGCTCTATATCAACAAAGCTATCGAAAATTGCTCATAGTTGAGTAAAATTTATTCAGTATTGTGAAAAAGAAAACTATAAATTACTCACCATGGCGGACAACATCATGGACAAATTTTTCCAACGATTTCACATAAACGTATACTCTATAGTCCAGCCCACAACACCCAACTTTATAGTTTTTGGATTGATGTATGATGGAGAAAGCTAGTAACTAGAGAAACATGTGAAAAGGGCCTATGCAGCATCCGAAATCTCCACCGGAATTGTGCAGAACTTTCTCTACCGAAAACGCGATAAAACTCCGTAGAAACTCCCCAGAACTTCCGCAGGTAAAATAAAAAATCTCCATCGAAATCATGCGGTATCCTCTCCACCGTTAAAACGTAAAAACTTCGTTCAAACTCCCGTCGAGGATTTAGATGCTGCCTACAAAGGTTCCCATGGAGTTTAGACGAGGTTCTGCACGATGCTAGTGAAGAGATTGGATGCTGCTGACGGAAGTTCCAGGGAATATCGACGGTATTTTATCAATTTTCGGTAGAAGAGCTTCCGCAAGATTCCGGTGGAGACTGTTGCCAACGAAGATTCTACGGAATTTCACCGGAATTGTCTCGCAAACTCGGTGGAGTAGGAGTAACCGGTGAAAACTAACGATTTTAAATTGATTCACTACTACACTACATAGGAATAGCTAGGGGGCTACCCCCTGCTCAGCAACACAAAGACTTTCGATGAAATGGCGTTCGGTGAAATGGCATTTTCCATAGTATTCAAGTTCTTCAAGTACTTCAAGTACTTCAAGTTCGATTGACGGTACAGTTCGAACAGCAAGTGCATACTTGCTGCCTACATTGAAAATCAATTTGCGTCAGCGAAAAGGGGAAATGGGTAGGGGAAACAAAACATAATAAACAGCATTCAAATTAGGTCAAGGTCAAAATGAAATAACCCAATAACTTCAATTGTTGCGAATCTAACTGAAGAAAAAGGACTTCTTCTTCGACAATACGAACCAACTACAGCACTATTTTTTTTAAATTCAGAGCTTAAATTACTTTATCTTACTACGGCCTTAGAATAAATATTATGGAACGTTTTTCAAACACTTGGTCGATTATTTTTGCAACCCAAGGCTAGGATCTGGTGCTCATCTTGTCCGTCTGGCACGGGCAACCAATCCAAGGCTACGATCGGACCTCTGCAGTAGAATACCGTTCACCTGTCTGCTTAACACCTAGCTTAACACTTCCAAATGCTGGCAGTTTTTCGAGCTTGAGCTTGAGCTTGATTGACCGCCCACGGTTGCTACTCTGTTACTGCCAGATCAGCTGTAATTACACAGAGAACCAATAGACGATGCTTGGGACTAGCAATCATCCTCAATGTGTAAAAACTGGTGATCTTAAATTAGGCAATACCAGCGCCGGCCGCGCCCGAACACTGGTCAACAAAGGAATGGGAAGGATTGGATTGACATGACACTCGCTTTGATGGAAGCCGAGAACACCTCTGCACTTCCACGAGGAATCACTGGGATGTTGGATAAGAGGGTTGGGTTTGCAGCAGGGTTCGTTTTGGTAAACGATAAGCTGAATTGATGTCCTAACGATCATATAACGCGAAAGAGCTTGGGACTAAACCAACGGTCTTCTGCTCAGTAAGCAAAAACGTTTGCCACTAGGCAGACGAGCACCTTTTTAATCACCGAGTTGCTGTTATTACCATGTAGTCATATTAACAAATAAAACGATTGACGAATCTTGAATGTGGATGGGCCTGAGATTAGACTCATGATGTTCTGCTCAGCAAGCAAAAACGGTTGCTCTTATGCCACCGAGACCCTCATATCACATAATACCGTTGCTCAAATTTGTGTATCCATTCAAACCCGGAACCAACGACAACAACGAGTTTCGCAAAATACACGATACACAAGCGGTTTTACCATAAATCTCTTTGATATGTAAGGACCTGGGACCGCGTTTTTCTGCTCAGTAAGCAGGCCACTGTAACTGACGATCTTTCAAATCCGAAAACTAAAAACTACGAAAAAGTACTTAGGCCTTCATTAAGTTCCACTTTCACGCGACGTTCAATGACAGGGTCCTATTCAGGATTACATCTGAAAAATCCAAATCTGGCCAACGCCCACCTAAACCTGTTCTAATCCACCTGAAATGACTAACGAATGGAAGACTTTGACTACCCAGCCATGCAATGGTCTCATTCCGTGCCTTATGGCAACTTGATGATTCTATTGCGCTCATCTTTTGGCACCACCCAGGGGAGACTTGGTCCTGTACCCAATGCTTAACTTATCTCCATTCCACTCAGCTACTCGCAATTTCTTGTGATATAGTGGGCGGAATATTATTATATGAGACAATTCAATGCAGACGTCTTTCCAAATTTGGCAGATTGACAGGTAATCGGTGATTTACAACGATAGTTGCTATTCAACAACTCGACAACGTCCCATCGTAAACGCCTGCTATGAGAATTTCCCATTGCAGACGCCAACGAAATGACTTCATCGAGCTATCGATCAACTACCCTGGTTATCGCCTGGTACCTTATAGCACGATGCTAGGAGGCGAACCGGAAGAATCGATGAGCTACCTCTTCCCCTTCCAAATGCTGGCAGTTTTTCGGTATACTAACTCGCATCAATCGGTGCGTTGTTCAGGTTCGTACATCGTTAAATGAATTGTAATGATCTAGCCGCTTTGGAACGTGCTCTTGGACCATATTAAACGTACATCCAAATCAGTTCGCAGCTCGGGGAACAGAATCGTCCGGATTTAGTGCTGTTGGTGGAATTCTGCCTTCTATTCCCATGCCGTCAGGTGGAAGTCACTCTCCAGCACTCGTAGTTGAATACTTCGTCCAGAACCACTTGAAACTGTAATCAGATAAATCAAAATTTCTTTCCTGTCGAGGCTATTCGCTCCATGAGGCCGGTAAAGCACTCCTCGTATTTTCTCATGAAAATACGAGAGCTTCTGAGTGCTTTATCTTTAAGATCTTTTGTCATCACCTTTGCATGGGTCCCATCTCATTGCTCGATTCCGGGCAATGAGAAGGCGGACTCACTTGCTAAGGTGGGCGCTATGCAAGGCGATATTTACGATCGACAAATCGCCTACAATGAATTTTTCTTCATTTATCGTCAACAGTCGCTCGCCAGCTGGCAAAATAAATGGAGTGAAGGAAGTTTGGGACGATGGCTATTCTCGATCATCCCTAAGGTTTCGAAGAGTCCTTGGTTCAAGGGGTTGGATGTGGGTCGAGACTTCATTCGTCTGATGTCTAGCCTCATGTCCAATCACTATTCGTTAAACGCTCATTTGTTTCGTGTTGGGCTGGGAGACAGCAATCTCTGTGAATGTGGATAAGGTTACCAAGACGCCGATCACATCCTTTGGTCTTGTGCTGAGAATCGTGGAGTCAGATCTGAGCTGTGCAATTCCCTTCGGGCTCGAGGTAGACAACCTAATGTTCCAGTTCGGGATATTTTGGCTAGACGTGATCTGGAGTTTATGAAACTCATATATGTTTACTTTAAGAATACTAACCTTAGATTGTAAGTTTGATTAACCTTGTGTTTAGTTGGTGTAGTGTGCGTGTAGTTTTTTTTAATGTTTGTTTTCAAGATGAATAGAAATAAGTTCATGTTTAAGGATTAATTAAATATTTGTATAATAAATCATATTTCAAACCTCCTTCTCCCTTTCCCCATCCAAAAAATTGTAAATCTCCACTAACCTCGAGACGACCGCGAGTAATCGGTTCAATTCCTTTAACTCTAGATTTAAGATATTAATCATGTTTAATGAAAATGATAACTCGGCTCTGTAAAGTTTATTCGATTGAGCCTATACAAATAAATTAATATAAAAAAAAAACATTTCTTTCGATGAGTGAGAAAAAAGCACCCCGTCAACGCGAGCGAGAACGCGAGTTGCCAGATCATTGCACACAAAACCAACTTGAATTGATTCAAAATACTAGCGACCCTGGCGGTGAGGGGCGAAAGAAGGACTTCAGATTGACTAGCTAGATGGTTTTCGTCTTCAGCAAAGCTTTTCAGATGGATAAGATCTATTGTATGGTAAACAGTTTAGCTTAGAATTTACTCATCAGTTGCTTCACGTTGTTTCAAGTTTTTTGGTTTCACTTGACAGCTCGCCTAGATAGAAGGTTTCTGTTTTCGGCAAAATGTTTAAGATTGATATATAACAATTAACCGTTTACGAAGTCTTTTTTACGCAGCATTCAATTTACGTCCCTCTTTTTTACGAAGTAAATCCCAAATAACGAGTTTTTTTTTTGCGATTTTGGGAAACTGGGAAATACTGTGAAATAACCCACAATATAGGTATTTTTAGAATCGTATTTTTAAATGACGGGCAGGGACCGAAAATCGATGTCTGACGTCATTTTGAAATCCAAGATGGCAGCTTCCAGATACAGAAAAATGTGAAAATTCTGCCAAATACCCCACAATATGGGAATTTATTAATCGGAGTGATGTGTAGGAACCAGAAATTCATGTCTTTCACCATTTTGATATCCAAGATGGCGGCTTCCGGTTACAGAAAACTTCGAAATTCTATCAAATAACCCACAATATGGGTAATTTTGGAATCGGAGTGACGGGTAGGGACTTGAAATCGATGTCTGGCGCTATTTTGAAATGCATGATGGCGGCAATAAAGTTGATATTTTGAAGTTCAAGATTTCGAAAGATTTCCAAAGTTCCATTAAGACTTAAGACATAAGGTTGTTATGCTGAACGCCATGGGTAAAACGGTTGCATTTTGTAAAGTTCAAGATTGTAGTCAGGGATTTTATTAGAAACCTTGAGCTTTAAGAAAAACTTGGGATCTGTCTTGAACTTGGATGAGTTAAACAGAAAAAAGGCAATGGAACCGCAATTCGAATTGGCTTAATTTAAAGGTTATACCAAAATGAACTCCTAGGGAATCCTGGAACAGAATTCTTAACCCAAGAGCAGTTGTGTCAAAGCACCCTAAAATGAGTAGCTTTTTTGCAAGCAAACGAAATTTCTTTTTAATTGATCCGGGTTTTAATGGTGCCTCAAGAACAACTCTTCCTCTTTCTAGTGATGTATGAACATTTTAAAAATGTCCAAGGAAATTGTTGAGCAAAAATCATGTTTCTATAGTGTGTTTTTTGTGCGTGCACTCAGTGTACTAGCGCGACTGCTGGATGGTTAAGAAATTCCGGGGAGACTAGTAAGGAATTCTGAAAAGAAATTAAAAGGCTTTGTGAGGAAAGCTTCTGTTTTTTTTACGTAGGACTACGTCTTTCATTTCTATACTGGGGCTACATTTTGTAAAAACCGAAAATGAAACATAAAACAATATTATGAAAGATTTTTCTCATTAGTAACTCAGCTGCCCCTGGACCAATTTAAATAATTTTATCACCAATCGATCAGAAATATTTTTACGCATCTCTAGCAATACTTTCGTCTGATGATTTTAAACAAGAAACTATTGGAAAAGTGGAAATGTCAAGCATTGTCCAATGTACAAATAAAAAGTCATAATTGTATCACTGTTTTCATGAAATAAACGTTCTTCCCAAACCCAGTCGTCATAATCGAGCACCACTTGGGTGCGCATCATTCTGTTTTAACCTGAAAAGCGCTGTCTAGCCTCAACTCATTTTCGCTTCGGACAGCGTGGTGAGCAGCAAGCAAGCAGCAAGCAAGCAGCAAGCAAGCAGAAGCAGCAAAAGCAGCAGTAGGAAGGTGGTGGCAGGTTAAGTAGTCCACTCTTGTAC